TTGTTTACAACTATATTCTGAATCTTATTTTCGGAGCATATAGGTAATAAAAATGAGGGTGTTTATTCAGTTTTCTTTCTAGGCAATGAAGCACATATGTGTACACTGTGGGACGTGAAGCAAATGAACTAGTATTAACCGAGGGCGGGGTCTACCACACGGTATACATGCAGTTTTAGACCTTCTGTCTCATTCAGTCCTAATAACAGTTCTTACAGGGAAGTAGTGGTTGTCTTTTTTTAGAGGCAAGGAAATTGAGGTGTTGAGGGGTCAGGTCCAAGTCAGCTAGCTAGTAACTGTCAAGGGGGCGGTCCAGGCGCGGGCCACCGGTGCGTAGAGAACTGCCAGTCTTTCAGCGTGCTCTTCTCCGAGGCTCTCAGAAGTCCACAGTGAAGGGGTTGCTGTGCTCCTCCTCCACAGCAGCTTCAGGCCAGGGGGTCAAAGGTGGTGAAGACGGAGAGCAAGCTGCAAGTGAGATCTGCTAGCATGCAAAACTAAGAACAGAAAATGGGCCAAGGGGAGGGTCCCTTGCAGCCAGGCGGAAATGTCTGTTAGAACACGCAGGGAAGGGAACAGCGTCACAGCACTGAGTGAATGTGAGCCCGAGGGAGGGTCAGTAGCAGTGATTTTATCAGAAGTGAGTCATCTGACAGCTCTAATCAGAATCACCCCCTTTATCATAGCTGAGGTCATCCGTGTGCTTCCTCTGATGTGCGTGTTTCAAGAGGAGATTGAGTCCAGACAAGTGAAACATACCTGAAGATTCTGGCCTGGACACTGTAGGTGACCTGACAGGAAAGTGAGCTTCCAGTTGATCACCCGGCGGCGGCGGCGGCGGTGGTGGTGGTGATGACGGCGGTGGTGGCGGTGGTGGCGGTGACGGTGGTGGTGGCGGTGGTGGCGGTGGCGGCGATGATGGTGGTGGTGGCGGCGGTGGTGGTGATGATGGCGGTGGCGGTGGCGGTGGTGGTGGTGGTGGTTGGAAGTACTTCCCATCTGCATTTTCATTCTACACCGTTTTTTCCAGACTCATTCCAACCCATCCCTAGAGGCGAGGGAATGGGAAGCATTCCGCCAGGAATTGTGAGGCATCACCCGAAGTGATTGGGGAGTAATGGTTTGGGTTTTTTTTTTTTTTTAAATCTTCTGTTTTATCTTTAGGCAGAACTTTTATTCATGCCCGTATCTGTTTTAATTGAAAAATAAATTATTTTACTGCCGAAGTATCTCCTTCCTCCCACCCTAAATCTCCAAGTAGAATGGACCTTCCCAAGGTGCTGCTGTTGGGCTGAGGCCCAGCGGGTGCCGCCTCCTCACCCGGCGCGTGCCATGCCGTCCCCCGGCTGTTGTGCCGCCGCACAGGCTCCTGCCCCAGCCGAGCGCTGATGCGAGGCCGGCCCTCTGCCCGTGGGCCTCGCCGCGTGTTCTGACTCCCTCCATTCCTCGTGCCTCTGTCCTCTAGGGCCTGGGTCCCTGCTTACCTCCCTGACGTGGTTTCTTTCCACCACTTGATTGGCTTGACTTTTTAATTTTAATGTTTTTACTTTAGAGAGCGCAAGCAGAGGGAGGGAGAGAGGAAGGGGGTGGTGGTGGAGAGAATCTCACGCAGGCGTCACACTTCGTGCGCAGCCCAACGCAGGGCTCCATCCCATGAACCTGGGATGGTGACCTGGGCCGAAATCAAGAGTCGGACCTGCAACCCGCTGAGCCACCCAGGTGCCCCCATTGTCTTGATTTTTTAAGGGCTTGGTCTCTTGATGGGTCCAACACTATTATGTTCGGATTTTCTCTTTTTGTCTTACCAGGGGATGTAAGCAGATATCTTGTATGTGTCTGATTCTAGCAGAGACGTGTGTGTTCTTCATGCCGCTGCTCAGTTTTATTTAAGGCGCAGTTGGCGCATGCCGGTGGCCTGGCACATGGCGGGCTCAGCCTGAGGACTGTTTGCTGCCAGTCTCTCTGGTCCCCAGGGCCGTGTGTGTGGGGCTGGGCCGGGGGAGCACATTGTCCTTCCGGTCTCTTGGACGGAAGGACGCCTCGGGCGGCGGCACGAAGCTAACTTCAGGTGGTGAGTGAGGGTTTATGGCTTTACGGCTGGTCTCTACCTCTAGTCTTCTAGTTACACCCAGCTGATTTCCAGTTTTTGTTGCAATCTTGACAAGAGTTCCATGCTTTTTGGTAATTTAACAGCAGTGAGTGTTTCCTTTGTATTTTTACGCCTGAATCTTCTAAGACCGGTATGTGTGCTGATTTACTGTTACTGAAGACTTAGTTCATGTTAAGCCCTGAGCCTTTTGTTGAGGGTCTCGTTTGTGCCCATCCTGCTTCCTTCTGAAACCCTGTTGTCCACCTTTAACTGATCTAATCTTGCTTGATCCCATATTTCCCCACTCTCCCTCAGCAGCAGTGTTTTTTGTACCAAATGAAATTACATCTGATCTTTTGAATGACATCCACTACAGAAATTGCTTTTTCCATAGGTCTTGCAGATTTTGAAACTTTTTTTTTAAGTAACATGTCTTTGTGTCTTCGTAACTATTTTGTGAGACAGGCAGCATAAACGTGGTTATTACCTCTTTTAGGAATGGAGAAAGAAGGTACCAGTGGACATGACTTGCATCCTACTGGCGAAGCCAGGACTTGACCAAGTCCCTGGGGTTTCGGTCCCTAGCAGGTTCTAGAGACATTTTATGAAAGACTTCCAGTTTTCCCAGAATTGGGATAATTTTATCATGTACGTTGAGTTGTCTACAAAGGTGATGACTCTAAAATATTTCAGGATTTTTTTTTAAGTCTTAAATTCAAGGAAGAAAGAATGGGTTCTCTGAATTTCCAAATGTTGCTGGTTCCTGTTTTAAGCAGGTTACAGACGTTTACTTCCTAAGAACACAGCAGACTGAATCAGAGAGGATAGTGATGAAGTTTTCATTTTTCTCTTCATTTCCAGGGGCAGTATTTTGCCCCTCCTTGTTGAAACATTGTGAGAAGGTTGTGGCTGAAATAGTCACACGATGTGGTTCTTAGGAGGAATTTTCGTGTCCTTGAGGATTCTTAAAGGCAGTGATGGAGGTTTTCTGGTTATTGTGTGTTTTTGAAAACCCAATAGAAATGGTTTATTTTTATAAATCTTAAAACATCAAGCTTCTTTACTTTGGGCTGGAATTTAAAGACTCTGATTAGAAGCCCTGGTTGGCACTAGAAGTGCACGACCATTTAATTATTCTTGAAATTTGCTATTTGTTTGTAGACAGAGTCCACGAGGAGAGAAAACCAGACAGTGAATGGTCTCTAAGGCTCCTGGTTTGGTCTGAGGCTGTGCTGCAGTGGTGGGGAAGGGCCACCAGGTGGCATGAAGGATTCGCTTAGCCGTTGGCTCCCAGCTAACCCCTGAAGCCCACTGAACTTCTACCCTGTGAACCATGGCTCCGCCGCAGCTGTGCCCTCAGTTCCGGCCCCCGGCTTTCCTTGCAGCCACTCCCTTCGTGCAGTTTGTGCTCTGCATTGGCATCTGAGCACAGTGTGCCCCTAGTGAGAGCCCCGGGGCTTGACGACTCCTCTAGCTGGGAAGCGTCTGGAGACCAGACACCAGCCGCGTTCATTGGAAAGCGTGAGCCTTTCCGTGTTACCAGGAGCAGCCGCCATAGCACCTCAGAGTTGCTTTGTTGAATTAGTACCCGTTGGAGGTCTGTGGGCTGACTGTGGACCTCTGTAGAGTTCTGTCAGTATAGTCTTTGCCTCGAAGACGACGCTCATTTCCCCAGCTTCATAAACGATTTGTTGGCCGGGTGTAGGGTTTTGTGCTTGTAGACTGTGTGCTTTCGTAAACTGTACAGTGAACGCTGATGAGCCATGTTAGACACAGTACTTACAGAAAGCAGTACTGTCGCGGGGCCTGTCTGCAGCCCTGCCCTTGGCCTTGGCAGTGGACCTGCGTGTGTGCAGACCGCAGACAGCCGTGGTGCAGGGGCCGTGTAGGGGGCAGCTAGGGGGCAGCAGAGGAGAGTCCTTGCCACTCTCACCCCTGAGCCTTCGCTGGGCTCCTAGCAGCGGCCCCTGCAGCAGGCAGCTGTCGTCGGGGGCAGGATGCCTACTTACACGGAGGAAGGGCCCGGGGGCGGCAGTGGCACGCGTGCCTGCTGTAGTCGGCTTGTAGCGTTTCATTGGAGGCCATTAAGGAAATGGATGTTCAGTTTTCGTTTTTCAGAAAACGGATATGGCTTTTAAGCCAATTGGAAGGAAATGTGAAAAGGCTCCATAATAATGTTATTTCATTATTAGAGCCGACCTACATGGGCAGCCAAGTTGTTGGCAGGCCTGACCCAGCTCTGGCTTCTCTGTCGTATGGATACCTTTCCAGAGTGCTCGGTTTGATGACATATTCTGAAGTTCTGTGTTTGCTAATAGGCCCAAGAGTGTGCAAAACTCTGAGCAAACGGCATTCACGTTTACTTAATTGAATTTAAAAAATGAGCCACAGTCTAGGCGTAACTGGAGATCGTAATACTGATGTGGTGTGTCTGCCTGCTTTTCTGAGGGCTCTTTGTTGAGCTCCCTAGTGAATTCGATAAACTAAAGCCCTATTTTTATTTCTAGAGCTGGGAGTTGCCAAGCTGGCAGATTTGACCTTTGGATTTTTAGAGCTTCAGAAGTTCTGATTATGTGATGAAGAGAAAAATGACAGCTTTTCTTGCCTGTTAAAAACCCAGGACTCCCTCATGACCTTCCTTTGCCCTTTGTCCCACAAACAGAGCAGAGGAGGTGACCTCTACTCTTTGGGGTGGCGTTATTGTAAAGAATGTGATCAGAATCTACCTGTTAGATGCTTATCTTCTCTGTGAATCTCTATGTCGATTCACTCTTATCTTTGGCAGTTGAGTTTGAATCCATTGGTAAGGTAGCTTATAAATGCCTTTTCAGAAACACATAAAAAATCTTTTCAGGAAAACTTTGGGAACTGCTAGCACAAGTTGGCATTGCTCACACGACTGCATTGTTTTTAGGTGATTGGTAAGGATAATGTGGCGGTCCCCTCGCACCTTTATAAGGTGATCCTGGCTCGCAGAAGCCCCATGTCTACCGAACCGCTGGCACTAGGGGCCTTCGTGGTGCCCAATGAAGCCATTGGCTTCCAACGCCAGTTCAGTGAGTTCCAGGTGAGCCTTCAGGACCTGGAGAAGTTGTCAGGCCTGGTGTTTTTCCCTAATCTGGATAGAACCAGCGGCATCAGGAACATCTGCTCCGTGGACACCTGTAAGCTCCTGGATTTCCAAGAGTTCACTCTGTACCTGAGCACACGGAAGATTGAGGGAGCCCGATCAGTACCCAGACTGGAGAAGGTCATGGAAAATCTGAAGAACGCAGGAGTTGAACCAGATGATTACTTCATGAACCGCTATAAGAAGAAACTGGAAGAACTCAAAGCGAAGGAGCAGTCCGGAATCCTGGAGAGGAGGCCACCTTAGTTTCTGTCTCAGAGGACGCGTGAGAGCATCTGTCATGAGCAGGTGTGTCCCTTCAGGCTGATGTATTTTAGTGGCTTTGCTTTAAAGAAATTATGAAATCCTACATTGAAGACTAAATTTCCCTCCAAAAGATGAGAGATCGGTATTTTATCCGACGTGGGAACTAACTGTGAGGTTAACCGTGAGGTGTGCGGGTTGTACGCTGATCTTGGGTCGGGTTCACAGGACTCTGGGCACAGGTGACATTGTTTTCTGTCCCCTGATGTCAGCACGCGAAGGTGTTTGGTGGGTGTACCTCCAGGTCGTGCAGCGTGTGGCGCATCTGCTCCGCCTTCTCCAGGTCTAGCGTGAGTGCTCTCTGTCTGCGCGTGGGCCTGTCCGCATGGGTTCCCGCTCCCCTCCCCCAGCCCTGCCGGCCCGCAGCTGTGCCGCTTAGAAGCACCCAGCTCCCTCGCTGTGCTTAGTGTGCTCTGTGTGCCGAGCTCAGTGTGTCGCATGCGTGATGGCTCGGCCACTCTCCCAGGCAAATGCCGCTGTCCTCCTCTTACACACGGGGGCGGGAAGGCGGGGGCCCGGGTGTTCTGTCCCGGTTCACCTGTCCAGAGGAGTAACCCACGAGGTGGGAGGCATGCGGGGCGGAGGAGAAAGAATGGCATGGGGTAGGTTCAGATAACCCTGAACCTTTTGGCCCAGAAGTACATCCACATGGGGGTGATTCTGGGCCCGCTCACCGAGAGGTGCCCTGTCTGCCGTCACCAGAGGGCCTTGAATGTCCTCCGACTCCTGTACCTCTGTGGCGCTTTGGGAAGGGTAATCACAGGTATCTGATGGTTAGAAGGCATCGCCTTCTGGGGGCTTCTCAGAGCCTGCTGGCCTCAGGGGCGCAGTGCTTCCAGCCACCAAATGGTGCTGAAATCTTTGCTTTCTGATGAGCAGTTCGTTCTGAAGGTTAAGGGACCGAATGAGGGTCTGTGCCCACAGTTGCCGGCTCATGACTTGCTCCCCTTGTGTCTGCGTGTCCACCTGGAGCAGGGGGTGGGGGGGTGCGTGTCCACCTGGAGCGGGGGGTGGGGGG